TAGTTGTTGAGATATTTCAGTCTGGACCAAAGTGGTGGACCAACACTGCCATTCATACAGCTAAACCTTTGACCTCTTTGGGCCACCAATGGTTATTTAAATGAGATTGTCTCTCTTTGGGGAGCTGCTAACAACTCATAGAACCTGTTTACACCTGGTATAAACCCAGGACGCATGTTAATACCAGGGTGTAAACAGGCTCATAGAAATCTGAAACATGACAAAGGGTTCAGAGTAGACGCTGCTTCTCTAAAAGGTTGGGAACCACTGGTTTAACATCTAACAATGCATTCCACTTTATAAGCTTATAATATGTTAAAATCTTAAGGTGTAAATACAAACTACGGCTGTCAAATAAATGCAGTGGTGTAAAAAAGTGCATTTCTCTCTCAATCTCAATGAAGAAAAATATGAAAAGTACCTAAAAAAGTAGAGCACATGTATCCAACACAAGCTTGCCAATTGTCAAAATACCAAATTCATAACTTTCCTACTATATTTCAAACATAGGATTTTTTTTCTTGACCTCTTGGTAATTGTGATTTTCTGCTGGTTGAAACCCTCCTATTGTTCCCTGTCACTCTTCCACACCTGTTGCAGCAGTTGAGCTGTGGCAGCCATGCCGCAGTAACAGCAGCCCCCTCTCTTAAGCTCTTGTTTTGGGCACAGTCTTTGTGGCTGTGCTGGCTGGAGACTCTCCGGCTATCCCACGGGCATTCTCCTGTTCCTAAATACCATATGTTCCTTCATGTTGAGCACATTAATAATTTCCTGCCTGTTATCCATTGACATCATGGAGTGTATATTTCCCTGGATGATTAATAGGCTGCAAGCATATGAAAAATGAACGAAATGCACAAAGTGAATGAAAGAAACGCACAAAAAAGCTGCTTTTCTTTAAGTTATTTTGGCTGGAGGCCACGGAATGAAATGTATATACCTCTTCCTGCTGTGATAAGGCATGATAGTCTTAGCAAATGACAGATTATAGCTGAAGGTCCAAAACAAGGGCATAATATCCTCCAGGGAAACATGAAGTAACCCTGTGTTGCCCCTTTTCTCTGATGTCCAGTGTTTGCTCTTTTTCAGGAGTGCTGTTATCTACTTGTTGATCTTTTATCCAAGATATGATGCAGCTTCAAGGGGCTTTGTGGTAGATTAATTTATTGGAATGTAAAGCAATGATGAATGGGGAGCCAGGGTTGGGAGAAAGGGCTTTTATTGTTACCTAATCCACTACATAAATTGAAAAATATGGGTTATATTTTGCCTTAAGTTTTGGTTTAATTAAATGCAGTTTCTATACAAGCAGATTAGAGTGTGAATCCCTTGAAAGCCCACAGACACCAGAGCGGCTGCAGTGGGGGATTACAGGAGTTTCATGATGGGAAAAGGGACTCCTCCGAGCCTGGTAGGAAATGATACATAACGCGATTTGTGTGTGTTTTTTTATGGGCAGAGCTGTCAGCGCCTCTGGTGAGCCACTGTCCAAGATCCGGTCAAGTCCAAACTTGATCCCCGTGGGGACAGCGTGATCTGAGCCCGGCCCCCTCTTGCACTGTTACAGGCCAGAACAAACACAGCTATTTATAAGTGCAGCACGGCACAGTTTGCCATTTGTGAGTGCAGTTAACTGGGTTTTTTTTTTTTTGGAGGAGTCTGCCGCTGTCTCCTCTGCAGCTGTCGTTGCCAACCGGGCCAGGCAGCAGATGAACCTCTTAACGTGTGTGTGTGTGTGT